TTATGTTGCCAAAGACCAGTAAAAGGCTCTGTATCTTGCAAAGCGCAATAAGGCTAAATTTTTTGCCGATATCCCCTTCAATATACCTAAATGGAAGGAAAAATTCTTCCATGTACGACCTTCTTCTCCTCTCCCTTTCTCGACCACATGGCATAAAACCATCCATATCAAATATACCAATCCTCCTAACAACCCGACTTACGACCTTATGATCGATGTTTGGAATCAATCTCCTGACCTTTCTTCCACTTTGGTCGACAATGACCAATTGCTTTTTCAGTGTGGTCTTTCTAAGGGGACTCAACCTCCTCTTTCTGACAATGAAATCAATGAGTTTCAGCTTATTTTGTCATGATCTCATCTTGCCTCTTTACATTTGTTCAAAATTTTGCCAATACAAAGGCCACCTCATCTGGCGACAAGGAAAAGGACATTTCGATCCTGGGTCAGGTCAATCTGAAGGATGCCTCAATGACCGTGTCGTCCCTACCCCCAAGATGAACTCGACCAGGCCCCAGGGGTTGCCGGCTCCTCCCCCTCCACGAAAAAATGTAGCCAAGAATGTTGGGATCAGTGAAGATGGTCGTATTATGCAAATCACGAATTAAATTCTGCAATTAAAACTTATGCACATCAGAACTAAAGTTTAGCGTAGAATTCTTACTGCTTAAAATCGCAGACTCTGTACGTTGTAGATTTTCGATGATGGAGATCAGTTGATTCCACTTGCCGAAAAAAATACCTCGTCAAAATCTCAGAGTCAACGGTGGTCGCGTAGGACTCGGCTGCATGCGGGTCATGCGCGGTTGTCACCAGGCTAGCGTGCGAGCATGTCATGCACGTCTCGGCTGAGGGTGCGCGAGCGTACGCTGGTGCGCGAAAGTCGTAGGAGGCCTTGTCAACCTCAGAGCCTTCTTTTGTATTACCTGACACAACTTTGGTTGTCTTCGTTGGTGAAAAGCTCAGAGATGACTCAATTGGGAACTAGGGCCAGCCGACGCATTTTATGCATGTTGTTTTTGGTCTCCCAATCCCAAGAGTATGGTGTATATATAAGCTACAACATGGACCCTAAGGAGATGATAATGTAGGCTTCTTAAGTCTTGGGCCAAACTGTAGACCAAGCTCACTCTGCTCAATGACTTAGATAATATTTTAGTCAACTAAAGAAATAGTATCGCACTCTCTTATTATCCCCGATTTACTTTCGATTCTCCAATAATAATTACCTGAATTACCTTTCAATGTTTAAGATTTAATGTTTATCAATTAATTTACTTACTTACAATCAAATTAATCGACATCAACCAAAGCTAGCACCCCTCAAACCATTATTATTATGTCGAAACTTAATCTTTCTGTAGGGTTTAACGTAATATCCTTCATGAGCTCACTTTAGGGACATCATTAGACTCACGCATATGGTGACCGTAAATATTCGAACAAGACACCATGCATGCAACATCACCACCCAACTCACCCAGACTATCGACCCACATAGAATGAATCTCACAATTTGGTGAATCAAAGCAGTGTCTAGTTCGTTTATGGTGATCAGTATAAAATGAACTGCTCATCTCAAGAACCATTCAATACACAAGTGTACTAGTGCAACTAATCTGTCAAGACCAACTGTATAGTTGACACTATAATCGTTCGGATGGTTTGTTCATTTCCATATAGGTTGTGAACCAATTATTTATGTTTTGCAAGTGAATGATGAAATGATCTTCTATCCATCCATGATGAACAATTTTATCTAAGTGCAAAACAACAGAACGTAGAACTTGTTTAATCAAACACGATTCTTATTCAACAGAAATAGTGTAAATAACATCCAAAGCAAAGCTTTCAATATATATACTAACGGTCTCCAACATATGCTTAAAGCTTTCGCTTACTAATATACATCTTTCAATTCTTGTTCTAAAAGACCTATGTCGATCTTGGTGCAACACATCTGACTCTCATTCCTTCCACGTGTTTGACGAAGACCTTATCTAGCAAACTCTTCATGAAAGGATAATCTAGGTTGTCCTCTAATGCAATCTTGGCAACCTCAACTTCTCTCCTTCATAAAATTTCTCGTATTAGGTGGTACTCGCGCTCTATGTGTTTACTCCCCTTGTGAGCTCGTCGTTCCCTTGAGTTTGCTATTGCACTGCTGTTAACACAGTAGACTCTAATACCTTGTGGCAAACTTGGAATCACCTCTAAGTCCATCAAGAAGTTCATGAGCCAAATTGCCTCTTTAACTGCTTCCAAGGCTGCAACGTATTCGCCTCCATAGTGGAGTCTACCCTGTATTTCTTGTTGGCATCGTCCATGAAATGGATCTACCTCCCAAAGTAAATACATAGCCTGAGGAAGATTTGTTTTTGTCCTGTTCTTATTGGAAGTCGGAATTATTGTAACCCTGTAGTAACAAGTTGTCTACACGGTAACCTAGCATCTACTCCTTAGTCCGTCTTAGGTACTTAAGTATATGCCTCACTGCGGACCAATGTCTTAGACACATAATACTTTGATATCTAGCCACCATGCCAACAACGTAGCTAGTATCCAACCTTGTGCATAACATAGCATACATGAGGCTTTCTACTGCCGATGCATAAAGAACTACCATCATACCCTCTATCTTTCGAGGTGTCTTGGAAGACATCTCCTTAGTCAAAGGTATCCCGTGTCAAAAATGCAAGAGAGCCCTTTCTTGTAATTTTGCATGTTGAACCTGGCCAAGACAATATCTATGTATGAAGACTGAGATAAGCACAACATTCTCTTTACGTTTGACAATTTCTTCTTATTGTTTCCAATTAAAAGTATATCGTCTACATACAGTACAAAAAACGCCACCACGCTTCCACTACACTTCTTGTACACGCAGTGCTCATCCAGACATTGAGTGAACTTGTATGAATGGATCACCTCATCAAACCGGATGTTCCAAGACCTAGAAGCCTACTTCAGTCCATAAATAGATTGATTAAGCTTACAAACCTAATGCTCACGGCCCTCTGCGATAAAATCCTCTTAATGCTGCATATAGATGTTTGTTTGAAGACTCCCGTTAACGAAAGTCGTCTTAACATCCATCTACCAAATCTCATTGTTCATATGAGCGGGTACAGCCAAGCATGACTACTGCCAAAAAGGATTTCTCATAATCGATTCCCTTTTCCCAAGTATATCCCTTCGCAACAATCCTAGTCTTGAAGGTATCAACCTTCCCATATGATCTTATGTTTATCTTGCAGACCCATTTGTATCAAATGGGTTGAACCCCACTGGGTCTCTTTGTTGGGATCTGTGAGGTTCTCGTTATGTACAAATCATGAATTCAATAGCAAACGTAAACCTATGTGCAGCGGATCTAAAGGTTTGACGTAGAAAACTTACTGCTTAAAATTTTGTAGATCTGGTTGGGACGAACGGATGACCGCAAATCAAGTCTCAGGATTTCACGACCAAGATCAGATCGAAAAACGATTCAAACGGGTGCAAATGGATAAAAATAGAACTTGCAGCCAACAACCTCCCGGGTATGCTCGGTTGCTTGATCTGACCTCCGGTTAGTCCTGCGGGATTAAATATATAGAGTCCCGGTTTACCGACAGAATCTTCTACTCTATTACTCAATACATCCTTCTTCAGCTTGTACCAGTGGAGCAACAAGAAGAAGATAAAGCTCGAATTAGATCTATAGAGAGAGAGAGAGAGAGAGAGAGAGAGGCGTGGGGTGCGAGTCGTGAGAATAAGATTCTCTTCTCTTCTCATGAACTTAATGTTTATATATAGAGCTACAGTAGGGACCCGTAGAAGATTAGGAATATGGCTCTTTAATTAATTAGACTAATTGTGGGCCAAGCCCACTCTTCTAATTAATTAAATAATATTAATGGACCACCGATATTATATTATTGCACTCCCTTTTCCTAAGCCAAATTACATTTGAGACTCCAATAATAATTAATCGATTTACCTCCCCATGTTTAAGATACAATGTCCATTAATTAATTCGATTACTGGCAATCAAGAATTAATTAATTTATTATTATTTCACCGAAGCTAGCGCTCGTTCATCACATTCTTATTATGTCGGAACTTAATCCACCTGCAGGGTTTAGGATAACAATCCTTCACGGGGACATCATCAAACTAACGCACATGATGACCGTAAATATCCTAACAGCACATCCTACATATAATAATATTAACCAAAATAGTAGGAATATTGATCCAGTGAACTGAACCTCACCCAAGTGAATCAAAATAATATATATTATATATATCTGTCTGTTTAATATCTTACGGGTTAAGAAAATGCAGTAATTAACCGATGCCTAGTTCATTTACGACGATCAGTATAAAATGAACTTCTCCTCTCTGAGATCCTGTTCAATACATAAACGTACTAGTGCCACGAATTGATTAAGAAAAACTGTACAGTTGACACTACAACCGTTCGGATGGGGTGTTCATGTCCATCTAGGTTGTGAACAACTATTCTTGTTTGCAAGTAAATGATAGAGTGATATTCGGTTCGCCCGATGACGACCCACTCTATCTAAGTGCAGAACAACAGAACATATAACTTGTTTAATCTAACATGATTCCCATTCATAAAGGGCAAATGTGTAATAACATGCAAAACCAAGCTTTTAGTATATAACACTAACAATCTCTCACTTATACTTAAAGCTTTCGCTTTTACAGTATAGTCCTATCAATTCGTTATTCTAAAAGACCTATGTCAATCCTATTTCCATGCTCATGACTCCCATTCCTTCCACGTGTATGACGAAGACCTTCCCCGGCAAACTCTTCGTGAAAGGATCAGCTAGGTTGTCCTCTGACGCAATCTTGACAACATCAACATCTCCTCTACCAACGATATCTCGAATTAGATAGTACTTGCGCTCTATTTGTATGCTTGCCCTGTGGGCTCGAGGTTCTTTTGAGTTCGCTACTGCTCCACTGTATCACAGTACACGGTGATAATGTTGGGATAGAACACCAAACGCAGCGGACAAAATTACCCCTTCAACAAATATAGCAAGCACTACTCCAAACGAAAATAAGCCAACACAAATAAATAAAAGACGAGAAATAAAAAGAACACAAAAATTGATAACGGAGTTCGGCGAAAATAGCCTACGTCTCCGGGCACCGCCAACCGCAACGCCAAATTTACTAAACTCACCAACAAAATACAACTAGGGTTAAATAACCCACAAATTAGGATTTCCTTAATTAAGGATTTCCTACCAAGAGAGGAGAGAATATAATAAGGTGCAATTGTAACTCAAAGGCATGGGACCTATTTATACTAATAAGATCCTACACATCTTTGGTACACATCCGATGTGGGACAAATAATTAATCAAAATCTAACAATTCTCCACCTTCACTAATTTTACTCCCACTTCAACTTTTCAATCTAAATCAAC